GGGAAACAGATAAACAGGCTGAGGCCCGACCGAGGGTCCTGTCAGTGCTGAAGGAAGAGGAGGGGGCACTCGTAAGGCCCCCCGTTACTCGGGAGCAAGAGTTAAATGCCTGCTTCGGCTCTGTGAGCATTTGGCAAATCAGGATTCAGTTAGATCAGCCTTGCTCCCCTCCAGATCAGGTTGGTAGTTAGGTGAGGCCCTGCACTGAGCAGGTACTGTGGGCCTGCTCTGGGGTAAGGACCTTATTGCATTATCCCAGGCATGTCACCTGCTTCACATCAGCCATCTCAAGGACAATATCATCAGCCCCATTTTTCAGACAAGGAGACTTAAGACTTAGTGGGGCCGGCCGAGTGGCTCAGTTGGTTAAGAGTGCGAGCTCTGAGCAACAGGGTCGCCGGTTTGATTCCCACATGGGCCAGCGAGCTGTGCCTGAGCTGAGCTGCCACTGAGCTCCCAACAGGTGGCAGGATGGCTCAGCTGGTGAGAGCACATGCTCCTAACAACAAGGTTGCCGATTGGACTCTTGCATGGGATGGTGGGCTCTGCCCATCCATCACTAAGATTGAACACAACACCTTGAGCTGAGCTGTTGCCGGGTGGCCAGATGGTTCAGTGGTTAGAGTGTGTGCTCTTAGCAACAAGGTTTCTGGCTCGACTCCCACATGGGATGGTGGGCTATGCCCACCCACAACTAAGATTGAACAGGGCACCTTGAGCTGAGCAGCCGCGAGCTGCCGAGGGGTGGCCGGATGGCGACTGGACTTGGAGCTGAGGTAGCTGCGCTCTCCACAACTAAGATTGAAAAACAACTTGGCTGTTCCCCTTCCCCAATTCCCCAATAAAATCTTAAAAAAAAAAAAAGACTTAGAGAGTGACTCTGAAGTATTTTAACCCAGACAGTGTATCTACAGAGCTCACCCTTTTAATCACCACGTGATTGATTAGCCCAGTCACATGATTTTGAGGCATAAAGAAGGCAGCATAAGCTGTATCAAGGGCCCACTGTGCTTGGGCGAGAAAGGAGGAGCAGCAGAGCAGAGGGCCCTGGAGAAGTCATTCCACCCAGCTTACCTACTTTGGATCCGGAGAATGGCTGCGACAAATAAGGGCTGGTGTGAGCTCTTGGGTGAGGAGAGCTGCCCCACCTTCCTGCAGATTCGTGTTCACGTTTGGGGCCTGAGACAGCAGACAGGCAGCTGTGGAGCCACGTGCAGCCTGGCTGCGCGTGTGAAGGAAGGCCCAGGCCTGGCTGTTCTTTGTGGTCCAGAGTGCAGTGGGCACCTAGATCATTGCAAAGAGCAGGTGCCTTACCTGGGCCTGCCTGCCGCCTGGAAGGTCTTTGGCAAAGGAGTTGAACTTTGACCCTATTAAGTCACCTGCGACAGTGTAGACCAGCGGTTCTCAACCTGTGGGTCGTGACCCCTTTGGGGGTCGAACGACCCTTTCACAGGGGTCGCCGGGTACTCATATGTGAGCATATCTGCATGTGGGTCTGGAGACCGATAGAGGAGCGGTGTCTCGGTTCCTAAGACCATCGAAAATGTGTGTTTTTCGATGGTCTTAGGCGACTCCTGTGAAAGGTTGAGAACCACTGGTGTAGACACAGTGACAGGCCTGTGTGTCATTTGGAAGGGATTTTAGTAGTCAATTGCTAGAAAAATGGAAAGGGGGAGTGCTTTTTATTTTTAAAACTACAGATATTTGTTTTGTCATTGCATAGGATTGTGTTCTGTTCCCTACTTTTCAACCAATTTCAAGTATTGGGAATTTCAGTTACCAAAAGAAGCATTTCTTTTCATGGCATGTGTTTTGATTGGTTGATTCATTGAGTGAATGTGTACTGAGCATCTTCTGTGGGCCAGGCACCGTGTTAGCACTGGGGAGCCAGAAATCGCCACGGCAGGCCCAGCACTCTTGGGAGGAGCCAAACACAGAAAGAAATCACTTAGTAAGATAGTTTCATACAGTGGAACGCGCTGTGGTAAATGGCAAGATGAAGGAAGGCCGCTCGGTGGGTTTTGTTTAACCAGCTTCATGGAGATAGATTCACAAATACAACTGACTCGTCGGAAGTGTAGAAGTCAGTTTTCTTTAGAACTCACTGGGTTCTACAACCGTCACCAGACTCTGACTTGGGAACAGGAGACTTCATGCTCTTTAGCGATCAGTCTCCATCCCTCTCCACTCGCGCAGCTTTAGGCAGCCACTGATCCACTTCCTGTCGATTTGCGTCTCCTGGACATTTCAAATGATTGGGATTATACAGCTCGTGGTCTTTATGACGGCTCCTTTCCCTCAGCTTGATGTTGACAAGATTCATCCATGTCGTAGCCGGTGTCAGCATACTTCATTTCTTCCAGTTGCTGACAATGGTCCACTGCATGGATACACCACATTGTATGTATTCGTTCATGAGCGTTTGGCCGTTGGAGTTGTTAGCACCTTCTGGCTATTATGAAGAATGCTCCTGTGAACGTGTGCAAGTCACACGGCTGTGCGTTTTCATTTTTCTGGGGTGTATGCCTAGGAATAGGATTGCTGGGCCGTAGGGTTACTGTGTTTGACCTTGAGATGACCTGCCAGAGGTTTTCAAAAGCAGCTGCGCCATTTTACATTTCCAGCAGCAGTGCTTCAGGGTTCTACTTTCCCCAGTCCTCACCGGCACTTGGTGTTATCTGACTTTTTCATACTTGATGGGTTTGAAGTGGTAATTATGGTAGTTTTGATTTGCATTATTTTCCTGATGACTAATGATGTTAAGCATCTTTTCATGTGCTTGTCAATTGTATTCTTCTTTGAAGAAATGTCTATTCAGACCCTTTGACTATTTTTAGTTGGGTTATTTGTCTTTCATTGTTGAATTGTAAGATTTTAGAAAATATTTTTTGTATACAAGTCCCTATCAGGTATATGATTTGCAAATATTTTCTCCCATTCTATAGTTTTGTCTTTTCACTTTCTTGATGGTATCATTTGCAGCACAAACATTTTTTTATTGAGGTATAATTGACATATTAGCTTCAGGTATACAATGAAATGATTCGATATTTGTATATATTGCAAAATGATAACCACAATGTCTAATTTAAAAGTTTTTAATTTTGATGAAGTCCAGTTTATCTATTTTTTTCTTTTGTCACCTGTGTTTTTGGTATTGTTTTTAAGAAATCATTGCCAAATCCAAGGTCACAAAAATTGTATCCCTGTATTTTCTTCTAAGAGTTTTATAGTTTTACATTTACATCTTTGATTCATTTTGTTTATTTTTGTATATCGTGTGAGGTAAGGGCTTGAATTCATTCTTTTGCATGTGACTATTCAGTTGTCCCAGCATCATTTGTTGAAAAGAATATCTGTTCCCCCATTGTACAGTGTTGACGCCCTTGTCAAAAATCAGGTAGCCGTAGACACATGGGTTTATGTTTGGACTCTCAATTCAATTCTTTTGTTCTCTATAGCTCTCCTCATGCCAGTACCATGCTGCCTTGATTACCGTTAACTTTTTAGTAGCAAATTTTGAAATTGGGAAGTGTGAATTCGCTAACTTTATTCTTTTTCTAGATGTTTTTTACTATTCTGGGTTCCTTGTATTTTCCTACACGGGAATATTAGCATTTTCTACCCAGAAAAAAAAAAAGCAGCTGGGTTTCTAATAGGGATTACATTGAATCTGTAGATCAGTTTAGGGAGTACTGCCATTTTAACAATATTGAGTGTTTTGGTCCTTGAACATGGGATGTCTTTCCATTTATTTAGATCGTCTCTAATTTTTTTCAATAGGTTTTTGTGGTTTTCAGTGTATAAGTCTTATCCTTTTTTTTTTAAACTTTATTGGGAAACAGTGTGTTTTTTCCAGGACCCATCAGCTCCAAGTCAAGTTGTTGTCCTTCAGTCTTAATTGAGGAGGGCACAGCCTACCATCCCATATGGGAGTCGAACTGACAACCTTGTTAAGAGCATGTGCTCTAACCAGCTGAGCCATCCAGCCGCCCACTGGCAGCTCAGCTCAAATCATTATCGTCAATCTGGTTGCAGAGGGCGCAACTCACTGGCCCATGTGGGAATCGAACTAGCAACCCTGTTGCTCCGAGCACACACTCTAACCAACTGAGCCACCCGGCCGCCCCAGTCTTATACTTCTTATATTAAATTTATGCCTAAGTATTTTATTCTTTTTGATGATATTATAAATTGAAGCTTTTTAAAATGTCATTTGGAATGTTCATTACTATTGTATAGAAATGCGTTTGATTTTTGTATATTGATCTTGTATCCTGTGACTTTACTGAATTTATTAGTACTAATATTAGTACTAATAGTTTTTTAGTGGATTGCTTGGGATTTTCCATATACAAGATTATGTCATCTACAAATAGAGATAGTTCTATATCTCCCTTTCCAATCGGGATGGCTTTTGTTGGAATCCTAGAGTGGGAGTAGTGAGAATGGCGTCCCAGCCTTGGTCCTGATCTCAGAGAGAAACCATTCAGTCTTTTGCTATGTCCAGAGGGCTCTGAACACCTCAGTTCTAGTTCAGTCTCCACTGCCAACTCGGACACCTTGCCCCTGTCACTTATTGCAGTTTGTAAACCCCAAAATGAGAAAGTTGATTTGAAAGGGCCTTTCTTTCCAGTTTATACACCTTCACTTCTGTGGTTCTTCTTGGGTATTCTTTCTTCTTAGCTGGTTCCCTTGGACTTCGCTTAGATCATCATCATACAGACTCTATAAGGACGCTCGGAAATACTTGCCCATTCTGTTTCCACACCCATTTTGACTGCCTTTGACTTCCACAATTCTGCACAACCGAACCTAGACAGAAGTTGCAAAAATTGAAACACGGAAGCAGCAATGTTTTAAGGAATCCATATTTCCTTTTTTTTTTTTGTAACTCAGAACAGCCAGGGGAAAAGATTTGTTTGGGGACGATGCTCATTTCCACAGAAGGTCACAGAACTCCACTGTGCCCCTAACACTCAGCACCCTCTTCTTTTCAGACTCTCAGCGTTCTCATCTCTCCTCCTTCACCATGAAGCTGATGGACAAATTCCACTCACCCAAAATCAAGAGAACGCCATCAAAGAAGGGAAAACCAGCTGAGGTGTCCGTGAAAATCCTGGAGAAGCCTGTGAACAAAGTAAGCTTCCTCGCTAGGAGTTTCTCCTGGCCTTCTGCTGGGAGCGATATGAGTTTGTGCTCATTTTCTGAGTTCAAGTTCACTCCCTGGGGACTGAGCTTTCAGTACAGAGCACCTGTTCCATAGCGTCCCGTGGTTCCAGGCGGGTCTCCAGCATTCTTGTGATACATGAACCCTTAGGGTGGTGAGTGTTTCTCATCTTAATCGGTCAGCTTCCTTTGGGTAGAATGGTTCTCCTTTTCCAGATGTGTCATCCTCTGGGCATTTACAGCAGCTCAGCATATCATGTTCACACCCAGGATGCCGCTCGAGAGCCCCATGCTGCCCTAGCACATGCACACACGTATGGGGGAGTTTGTGATGTCCAGCACGTCCATCATTCGGCTTTAGGGCTCGCGCTCTGAGACACGCAAAATCCCTGAAACCCAGCCAGATATCCTCAAGCACTAGTAACCTCAGTAGGGCCAGTCAAGCCAGATATGTTGAAACAGCTGTTGATTTTCATCAACCCCTCCCTTCAGCCTCAAACGGCCATTACAAGCTCTGTAGGAATCCAGGTTTCCTCTCTTCCAGGAGGCAACAGACAGATTTCTACCAGAGGGCTACCCTATCCCCTTGGATCTGGAGCAGCAGGCAGTAGAGTTTATGTCCACCAGTGCTGTGGCTTCCAGGTCTCAAAGGCAGAAGGTCAGTGTAATGTTAAGAACATGGGGTTTGCCTTGCCTTCTACTGCAGAATCCTGGCCCATGGTCTCGGGGATGGAACCACCTCTGTTGCAATATCATTGTGTTCAGTTGGGTGGCAGCTGTGGGCTTACTTGTTCAGGAAACAGCCCAAGGGACCTTGGGGAAAAGTAAGAGTTTACCCCAAGCCCCTATGGGGAGTCCTCCATGGCGAAAGCTCGGGGACCCTTTCTGGGGTTGGTTTGGGTGCGCTGCTTGGGTCCAGTGGGTTCTGGGGGAAGTGGGTGAGTCTCATCTCATCTCTCAAGACCAGCTGTTCTTTCCTCGAGCTGCTAAGATGATCTGAGTAGCTGAGAAAGGGCATCTAAAGTATAAGGAGCTCTGTTAGACCGGTGACACGGCCATAGAACCAAGTGCCCTCAGAGCCAGGGCCACCTGTGTCTTAGCCCCGTGCTCAGCGCTTCGCACTCGTTCTCTTACTTAACCCTCACGACAACACTGGCAGGTAGAAAAGGAAACTGAGGCTGTAGAGATACTGAACATTTGGCCAAGCCACACATAAAAAGGGTGGTGAAGCTGAGATTTGAAGAAGACTGCCTGACATCCAAGTCAAAACCTCACGCGGCCGTTTTGCCTATTTATGAAAGCCAGTTTGTTTCTGACTATCTCACAAGTCCAAATGTTAACCCCCACCCATCACTAAACATCACAACAAAAGTAAACTTAGCAATGTGAAATAAAAAGAAGCCTTGTAGACAACTAGGTCCTCTAGTGATGACCCGAAGCAGTTTGTGGCAGAGCTGTTGACACAGTCCTCAGTTTAATGTCACTGGGAGTTAGTTATGCCACTGCCCTGTTACGGAAACACACAATCCGTGAATTTTGCACCTAGTTGTTTTTTGGTTTTTTTTTTTATGTTGACTAGCAGGTTGTCTTAAAATCCTAGTTAAAAGTGGAGAAAAGAAAGGTTTTAAATCTAGAAGTCTTTTGTTGGAGATTCAAAATTTTTCCTGCCCCATCTGTTAACAAAAGGAGGCTGAAGAACAAGAGTGAGATACTCAGTGTTTGCCGGGTTGACCCCAACTCCAGGCTGGAGAAGAGTGTGACACGGAGGAGATTCGGTCTGTGCCACAGTGACTTTGTTATTACGATCTGTTTAGCAACCTCTTGGAGCTGAGTTGAAGATTAAGTCCAAGACGAGTGTCAGCTGTCATCTAGCACTATTCCGGGCAGTCCAGAGGAAAACAATTTACTAACACTTGTGCTCTGCTAGTGAACTCTGATAAGAAACTGTTCCAGCCACTCAGTTCTTGGAATTCCTGTCCCCCCCTTTCTTCATTACTCCAAGAGAAGTCATGGGGCGGGGGAATTCGATGCTACAGTGTACTTGACTTAATGGGGGTTCCTGCAAACTCCAGGGGGCGATGCCAATATTTGGAGACGTTTTTTGGTGTCATAACTGGGAAGGCAAAGCAGGTGCTACCGTATCTGGTGGACAGAGGCCAGGGATGCTGGTGAACATCCTGCGATACCTAGGACAGCTCCCCACCCCAAACAAAGAATTGCCCACCCCACAGTGTCGCCAGTGCGCAGCTGCGAAACCCTGTTCTGTAGCAGGGAGCTGCAGGCGTGACCTCTACCCAGGGAAGGGTGTTGCCCGGGTTTTGGTCGTCGCCCTTTAAGAAGGGCTGAATCACTGTGCTGTGCCCCAGGTCACCTGCATGAAACAAAGTGAATACAAACGTGTCGTTTGGTGGAGGCCCACAGACAGAACCGGCAGTGTTGCAGGGACCTGCCTACCTGTGTGAACTTTGAAGGCTGTCGGAGAAATCTTACAATAAGTCTGACATTTGCTATTAATTATTCATTACTTATTAGCTCTCTTACTTCTTAGAGAATATTTCCATATACATTCTCATTTTATCCCAGTTTATACGCATGGCTTTCCCTGTTTAAATACACGGGAAACTGCAGCTCAGGGGTTAGAAGCACAGATTCGGATTCACTGCCGGCTTTCCGAGGGTCTCTCTCTGTGCCCAGGCCCTGTCCTGTGCGGTGTCACATGTTCTTATTTGCTCCTCCATAACCATGTGCAGAAGCTTTCAGCATTTCTAATATACAGAGAGTTTGGGCACTGGCCCACGTTTTCTTAAGCAAACCTGTTTTTCCCTTAAATGTTACAAACTACTTCCATGTGTATTCTCCTTCAGTCCCCACACCAACCTCTTTCAGTCCCCCGGGCAGGTCTTCTTCTCCCCATTGTGCAGATGCGGAGCCGGAAGCCTACCAGGCCCGAGGCACAGAAATGGCTTTGGGTCTAGGCCCTCCCAGCACCACTGCTCTCACGTGGTTGCCTGCTTTGCTTGGGCTGGTGGTGGCACCACCTTGTCCTTCACAGTGGGGCTGCTCAGGAGGTGGCATGTGCCTCTCTGAGGTTGTGCTGCTGCGCAGTATCAGCAAAGGCCTCGGGTCCTGGTTGTAGCAAGTGTTCGGTCTAGTGTCCCGTTGTCAGCTCTCCTGACTGCTGGCTGCATTTTGCAAGAAGCCACAGCTAGCACCTGAGGGGCTAGGAGAATGCACAGTGCTCAGAGGCCATTAATCCTGGGAGTGGAATTTGCTGGAGAGTTCATGGGTGAAACCTGACTCTGCTAAATTGTCGCTCCTTTGCTAGGAGCCCAGGGCAGCCTGGCTCTTCAGTGGCTCATTTGAGCGCTCTGCAAATGACAGGAAACTTCTTTTTACTCTAACACGCCTTGCCCCTTTGGGATGCCTCCCTTCTCCAGGTTAGCCCCTCTCTCCCCAGTGACCCTGATGACACTTTCTGTAAGTGTTTCCTACTTCCTCCCCACATTTCATCATCACTGGTTCCTGACATTTTCTGCTGTCCTGAGATGGCAGTGTGGTGGTCACAGTCCTCTAGCCAGACTGGCCAGCTGTGGTTTTAGTCACATTTGATGTCTGCAGGCACCCAGACCCCTTCATACTCAGGCTCTCCCCGGCCCCCGGTAGGTGGTGGCAAAGCCGAGAGCACCTGTCCGTAAGTGGAGAAAAAAGTGCCTGAACTCTGGGAACAGACAGCAACTAAGCAAGGATGTCGGGTAGTGAGGACGGAAGAGCACAGGGTAGAGGCTACAGCGATGGGGTGGGGGTTCTCTTTCCCCCCTGGAGAACTCCCCTGGTGGCCTACAGAACGCACTTGGGGAAGTGCTCTGTTGAGAGAAATTAAATCAGGTCTTTGAAAGTTGTCTGACTAAAGGCGTTACTTACTTCTTGATCCCATTCATATATTTGTCTTTTGATATTCCCATGAAATAAACACCTCCACTATTGACTTTTTTTATTTAAAATGGCATTCTCCATTATTTTAGAAGGAAAAAGGTAGTGTTCAGAATCCTAATCACTTTTTATTTTACCTATATTATTTACTTATCTATTGGTAGATTATCATATATTAACTTTTTCTAGAAATTATCCTCTTGTCCACACTTGCTTTTGTTGATCTAGTCTCTGGACCTCAAAGCGCCCCCAGGTGGCACTTGTCCTCATACTGGACGTGTCATCGATTCTCCTGGAGCAGACCATCCGTTATGGGCTGCTTCCATTTTATCGATTATCCTCGATTCCACCTTCCCTGCCAGCCAGCCGGGGCCCATCGTTGACGTTAGGGCCGGCACATGGAAGGGAACAAAGCGGTGTGCACCCTGCTGGCTGTGGGTTCCGGGCGTCCCACAGTGCGGGGCAGAGGCGTTGGGCGCGGGCTCTGAATCCTGGGGGTGCAGGGCTCTGAAGTCTCCTCTTCCCCCGGAGCACTTTTCTGTGAGCATTTGCTGCTCGGGTCATGATTGAATCACTGCCAGCTGCTCCGCTTCTTCACCCCAGAGCACGCGCCCCCTCTAGCCCCAGGGTCCCCAGGTCCTGCGGGAGGGCCACACCATTTCTTTGAGCGATGGCTGTGTCTTTCAGGGGAATGTGGGGTCTAGCGAGGCCTCCTGGCAGGAGGGGTTTTGAACACTAAGGCCAGCCCAGCCTTACACAGCCCCTTGAGTCTTGGTCTTTGAAGGGCCTGGGTCTCTAGATTTGATTTGCTGGGTAGATATGCACCATGGGACTTAACTGTTGGTTCTCTAAGCTCCCCACAGCCATCAGCAAATTAGTCCTCACTGGATACCCCTAATGAGATTAGTGATGGTGTCTCTGTGTGGGAGAGAAGTGAATTTTCAAGGCCTCAGGCCACATCAGCCTCTGTTCCAGGGAGGGAATCCAGGAATATCTAAAGAGCCTTTCTAGGTCCACGCCCTCTCCTCCTTCCTTCAAGTTAGGCCTCTGTATCCTGATCGCAACCCTTAGATAAGGAATCCGGCTTGGTTTCTGCAGCCAGAAACCTTTTCCATGTGCATCACTGTCAAGATAGTTTACAGGAATTTTTGTCTTTTTTTTTTCTAAATAGCTCCCTTTACCCTCTCCCCTCCCTCCTTATGCTTAACATTTCCTTTCAGAACCTGAGCTGGCTGGAAGAGAAAGAGAAGGAGGTGGTCAGTGCCTTGCGCTACTTTAAGACCATTGTGGACAAAATGGCCATCGATAAGAAGGTGCTAGAGATGCTTCCAGGCTCAGCCAGCAAGGTGCTGGAGGCCATCCTACCGCTGGTGCAGAGCGAACCCCGAATCCAGCACAGGTGAGTGGCTCTGAAGTCCTCAGCGGCATCCGTCCGAGCAGTGGAGGCCTGAGGCGTCTTAGTGTGGGGACATTTCAAACTCAGGGCTTCTAGGAACAGTGAAGAGAGTCGGGAGGGAAAGGAACCCTCTCCCCAGCCCCTTGGACGTCACCTGATGCTCTCCCAAGGTCAAGGTCATTGTTACTCAGGAGACTTCAACATGAGGCCGATCTCTACTGTTCATCACTAGGGACGTAGCCATGGTGTGAGTCGGGGGTCATTTCTTTGCATGAGCTCATTGGCCATAATCACATTGATGAGGACGCATTTCTCCTACTACCCTGTGTGAACCAGTTTATTATGATGTTTAATCCTGTCAACACCTAGCCTGTTGGAGACCGCAGCTGCTTAGATGATGAGGGCAAACGAGACAGAGAAGAGCCCCTTCGAGCATGGGCCAGTGAGACACTGACCTGTCAGCCAAGACCTCCCACAGGGCAGCGCAGGTCGCTGGAAGCCAGGTGTGGGGGGTGGAGTCAGCCCTCCTCCGGAAGCGTCTGTCGGGTAATGCTTTTAGTGCTGGAGTGCATTTTCCTTGTACAGGCTAGCAAGCAGCTTGCCCCAGGTTTATTGTTAAGTGCAGAAAGAAAGCAGTATTCTATGCGATCCTAAGTGAAAGCCCAGCAGGAACTTTTCCTCGAGAGGCTGTCAGATGCCTGCAGCTCTGTTTCTCCTCCCTGCCTGGTACCTGCTCAGGATAAACGCATTCTCATCTCGGTTTCAGTTCCTGGAGATGCGTTAGTGTTCACAGAGCCCCACGAGGCTGGGCTTTCATGAGCTGCTTTCAGAACTTGGCAATGAAGTGCAGTTTTCTTTTTCTGGAAACAAAGCAAACGATCTTTATTTCCAAGATGCTCTCTGCTGTGGGGCTTCCACCCTGGAGTGCCAGCCGCCCCTGTGGACGGTGGGCGTTCCGCTGGCAGCTCACGGAAGCAAGTTGGTGGTGGAGGATACAGGGTCCGTGTGGCTTGGCCCTGCAGCTGGCCTCACTTTTTCATGCCATGCTGTTGTCACATAGGAAGCGCATCTGAGGAAATGAGTCCCTTTGGTGCCCTGTTCAGTGCTTTGTGTGCTGGTCTCGAGAGCCTGGAAACCAAGTACTAAGCTTTTCTGTGAGCTGACCCAGGGCCCAGCTTCGAGATCATGCCGTTCTCCTGTGGGGGAACACACCTAACGTTAGGCTGCGGTCCGTAGATGACTTTTTACAAAACGCTCTCATATACCTCTCCCCACGCGATGGTCCCACCACGGGAGTTAAAATCTAGTTGAGAAAATCAACTCCCGCGTCTATGATGAAGTCCTAATCTGACAGTACCCAGCAGGAGCTCTGTTGGATTTGAAGGAGGGAGAGTTGCAGGGTCCGGTTCCTGGAGGAGGAGATGCGGGAGCCGGACCTGAAGGGAGGGTGGGAGTTGGATTGGCCGTGGGGCCAGGAGAAGGAGGACAGCAAAGGCACCGAGGCAGCCGGGCCCGGTGTGCTCCCTGACCGGACCGAAGGAGACACAGCCGGCACGGGGGCCGAGCGTGTGGCCCCCTAGGGGAGCGGCACACACAGGGGAACACTGGGAAGAGGGCGGATCGCTTCACCCGCCTCAGGCAGGTGCTGAGTGTCCTTAGCAGAGTCACCATAGTGAAACTCTGTGACGAAGGGCGTTGACAGTGTGTCGCTACCAGGACTGGCGCTTCGTGGAGTGTTGGCCAGCAGCCCTGCTGGGAAATGGCTTTCTAGACACGCCAGCGCTGGTAGAATTGGTCAGTAATATGAGAATGGTTTGAGGGCATTTTTTTGTCTGTGGGGAGGTTTTGTAATTGTTTTATAGCTGACAAAAATCTTCTAACGTCTATAACAATCTCCTAGAGCGAAAAAGAGAAATGCCTGGGAGTGGCTGTAAGGAATGATGATTTTTTTTTTCTTTTCTTTTTTGCTGGTAGTCCTTTGACATTTAAGAGATTTTCCTCCTGAAATTCTTCTGAAGAGCCAAGATTTTTATTGATCTCCCTGAGATGATCAGAAATGCTTCCTCAAATGCTTCTTTTAGCGTCTTTTCATCATTGCCCCTGTGCAGTTTGAAAGCTGGGAGGAGCTTCCCCACCCTCTGCTCAGAGCCCCTTCTACAGGCTGGGTCCTGATGGGCAGGCTTTTCACCACCCTCCCCCCGGCTACCAGGACAGTGGTGGGCTGGCCTTCGGATAGGCAGCTGGCTACTCGGTGTGGGTGATGCATGCAGGTGGGTGGACACCCAGAGGCAGCGAGTGCAGGACCCCGGCCTGCCTGCAGTGTAGATGGCCTGGCTCCATTTCAGAAACAGATCAGCGAGTGGTCCACTGGACAGCGTTTTCACAGTACAGGACCCTCCTCCCTTCCTTCGTGTCATAGCCCCTGACAGAGGGATAGTCTGCCTCCCAAGCTAATAATGTGAAAGGTGGACACAATTGCCAAATTCTGTAGGCGCTTTCAAGGAACTGTCACCATTCAAGGCAGATAGAAAGTCAGTATTATATTGACGTGCACCCCGCCCCCCCCCATCTAATTATTGCCAGTAGCTTAACAGAGTGGTGCTTTGGTGGAGCCCCCAGGGCACCTGGTCTGCCAGGCCCCAGGAGGCAGAGTTGCTCCAGTGCCTTCCCTGGTCAGGATGATGTCACCTAGGAGCCAGCCCCCAGGAGAGACTTCACTTGGTTTCACCCTCTCAGTCCTCTGGCCTAAGAGGGTAGGTCCAGCACCCAATACTTTTCACTCGTGTTTTCCTCCGAAGCAGCCCAACCTGGCTTTCTCGGCTCCTTTTGTAAACTTTTCTCGTTTCTGATGGGGCTTGAGGAGGCTGCTCTGGTTCTGTGTGACTCTCCTGTTGGGACATGCAGAGTGGAATGACTGCTACGTGGCATGTTAGACTTCTTGGGAGCGTGTTCTCCTCCTTACCTGGCTCTGAGGAGCCTCACGTTAAAGTGCTGTTTGAGTCAGGTTTTTGTGTTAAAAAGCTTTGTTTTTAGAACCTGTTTTAACCATGTCTTACAATATTATATGTGTTTTTCTAAAAATTATATCTTTGATTCCTAAACGCCTGCCTCATTTTTCTTTTCTTTCTTTCTTTCTTTCTTTCTTTCTTTCTTTCTTTCTTTCTTTCTTTCTTTCTTTCTTTTTTTTTTCTAAATGTTTTGAGTAGAAGAGGGGCAGCCAACAGGTTTTCTATATTTTTGCTCTTCTATTGTAATACATAATATTTGAAGTGGAAAAATAACCCTTTCTATAATTCCTATAGAAAATTGTCTTTAGCTATTTAAAACTATATGAAAGATATAAAAGTTCATTTTGGCCTCCACTGTACACCTGGTGAAGCATCCCGAAACATTCAGGGTGTCTGTTTGGTGTGCGCTGGCCTCACAGTGTAGCTAACCTCCCACACACGCGCGCACACACACACACCCCGGGTCCCCTCGCCTCCGATTTGTCATCGTTCTGGAAACACTCTTCATGAGTGCAGTCGGCTGGCCTCTCGGCCATGGCTGTGGCACAAGGGAGGCGTAGCTGAGCCCACGGCAGAGGACTTCTAGTAAACTGCAGATCTGTTTGAGCTCACGTTTAAAGGCTGTTCCTGTAAAGGACCCCGCCTACGCGAGTCCCACAAACCTGTTGCCTCCTTGTGACATGTCGGATGGGAATTTTAGTCTAACTCCAGACAAGAAATATGTGACACTTTGCCCCAGCCCAGTGGTTAGCACCTAGGAGGAGGGAAGGGGTGGTACCTTCAGACATCATCAGAATCTTGGGGGATGTAAAGTTTGAAAAAGCGGATTAACTTTCATGATGGAATTTTTATGTTAGAGTTGAGAAATGAAACAAAATGACAAGACTAGAAGGCTTCGCAAAGTTTTACTGGCTGTAAGGAGATGGGTTCAGGGAGGAAGGGTTTGTTTATCCAAAGGTCGTGTGGATTTCACAGAAAGAAAGATTGAAACATATTCCCTCATCTCTGACAAACTGGTTCTGTACTAGATGGATATAGTAAAGTGATGCGTGCTTTAGATTTTTAATATCCTCCTTACAATCTTCCCTCCCCCCCCCCAGCTCAGCCCTGTCCTCCTGCTATAGCCGAGTATACCAGAGTCTCGCCAATCTCATTCGATGGTCTGACCAAGTGATGCTGGAAGGCGTGAACTCAGAAGATAAAGAGATGGTGACAACTGTGAAGGGCGTCATCAAGGCTGTGCTGGACGGAGTGAAGGTATGGACGCAGGTCACGACCATCCTAGGCGGGGACTCAGAGCAGTCTCCCTGCTGGGCGTGTATCACACAAGAGCTTGTTCCTAAACGTAAGGCATTAGAATGAAAGTCTCCCAGTGTCTGGTGTTGGTACGCTGCTCTGGCCGATATGACTCCATTCTCTGGTACAAACGGCTCTCTCAGCAATACAAGCCTTTGTACTTGGCCCAATAATTGGCAAAGCTGCCAGACAGTCAGCCTTTACTGGGCATTGTGTGAAATCTGCAGTGAGTATGTTAAACTCTGGCTCTGCGTCCTTGTCAGCTAGACAAAATGCAGCCGAAATGGTTTTTGCATTGACTCTGAGCACAACTCCCAGCTGGTCAGCTCCCACCTTTCTGTATTCTGAAACCTTCTGGGATTCCTGGTAGAAATCAGGATTGAGATGAGTAAGACATGAAACTGTAGTTGAAGTCCCTCACGTGGTCTGTGAATTTACTTCCCAAGGAAGTCAGAGATGACATAGGAGGAAACTGAATCCTAGGTAAGGAGGACGCCCAGGACAGAGAGGGCCTGGAGCTGATGAGAGAAGTCCCAGTGGATGAGGAGCAAGGCAGGAAGAACACGGGGCGTGAGACAGGTGGGCCTGCAGGCCAGGACTGGTGCTGTGCGCAGCAGCCAAGTGGAGTGAGACCTGCCTTCTGCGAGGCCATCTAATGCAGTGGGAAGAGGGCTGGCCTTGGGGCCCGGCTGGGTTAAATCCCACGTTCACCACTTGTCTGTGAACTTGAGCAGCTCAGTCGAGTGCTCTGCACCTTAGTTAGCTCACCTATAAACAAGGTTCAGTGATGGTGCCCTATATCATGGTGTTATAGGGGGGATTAAATTAGTCAGCACAGGCGGAGCTCGGAGAACGCTGCCTGCCTGTCCCATCCTAAGCACTCAGACCTGAGCTGCCGTCCATTATTCTGTGGTTGACACGTGTGCCTGCACAGACCTCTTGGCTTGAAAAAACTGTGTCCTCCTTTCTAGACCTTTCAGTCCAAATGTATAGCTGAGGTACTTAACGCTAGGTCAAAAATCGCTTCTTTCCCACACAGCATGCTGTCAGATTTCTGAAAGCTGCCTCCTGGGATTCACATTCACCACAAGCTCTGGAGAGCACAGTAAAGACCCCCAAAGGGGGTCCTTTTCTCAGAGGGGAGGCTGAGAAAGCATTGCTTACCATTACCACTGCTCCAGCTTGCACTCCTGGCTGGGGAAGTTGGTGGCATGCCATCTCCAGCACCATGTAGGGCTGCTCTGTCTGCTGGGGACTTGGTTCAGTTCATTTAGACAGAGGCTTGACTAGATGACGTCACCATTTCGCCTGATAGCTCCCAGGTTCTCCTTGTTTTCCAGAGTTACTAGGTCCGATGTTACTGTTTTGGCCAGTGAGACTCAAGGGGGTAGCCCAGTGGCTGTCAAGTAAGACCTGATGTCACATTCTGGATTTTGGGGTGCAGTCACATACGTTACCCCGCTCCATCTTCCCAGCTGCTCTCTGAAATCAGCAGGCCAGAATGACCTGACCTGGGTCAGAGACGCGACCTGGGTCACACTTCATCAACAGCCTGTGTGCTTTGGGCTCACCCACTCCCTCCTCTTCCTGTCTGGGCCTCTGGAAATGCCATTACTGAAAGTTGTTATTTTTCAGGTAACATTGTTAAGGTTTCCTCCTACCAAACTGATTATGATGAGATGTTCAAAATAAGTGAGAACGTGCAAAATAGAAGACATAGTTTCGATTTATCACAGCCAGGCCTGCTGGACCCCAGACCCTGCACGCTCACCAGCACCCTCAGCTGCCGCCCACGAGGAGGGGTCAGGGGCAGCCGAGGGACTCGTTGCTCCCACCTCCAAGCCAGCTACTGCTGGCCTCTCTTGCTGTCCGGACTCTTCGGGCTTTAGACACCTTATAAGCCCATGTGGGGTGATGTGACAGCCTCAGTCGTCTGGGAGGGGTGGGGCCGTGCATTCATGAGGGTGTCGTCATCCCACTTAGAGGAGAAATGTTGGCATGGTTCTTTAAACTGACTCACCATCTTTCAAGTAACTCACTCAGTTGTTAAATGGAATTTTTTTTTTGAAGGATTGAAGTGTTTTACAAACAGGATTACTTTGTTTTTGTCCCTGGATGGGTAGTACCATTTATCACTTAAACCCCAACAGAAATGTCACGTCTTAGCTCTGTAACCTTGGGCAAGTGACCTCTCTGAGTTTCAAGTAGGTTTTTTTATGGTTGTTTTTTTTTAAGATTTTTATTGGGGAATTGGGGGATGGGAACAGTGCTGGGGAATTGGGGGAAGGGGAACAGACAAGTTGCTGTCCTTTTGTTCTTCAGTCTAGTTGTGGAGGACGGTGCTTCACTGGCCCAAGTTGGCAACATCATTGCGCTCTTCCCGGGCGAGGCAGATCAGTCACTGGCTTCTGGATGGCCGCTCACACTGGCTGCTGGCTGCTGGCTACACACGGTAGCCCATGGCAACCTACGGCAGCAGGGGCTGCAGCCTACGCCGTCGCCGGCGACTCATGGCAGCCCAGCTCCAGGTTGAGCTGTTGTTCCGCATCTTAGCTGTAGAGGGCAGTGTCACTGGCCTTCATATGTGGGATCCGAACCAGGGCCCTCTGGCGTCCCAAGCCAGCTCTTAACCATCGCACCACTCGGCTGGCCCTCAAGTAGGTTTTTAAATATTTACCCTGAAGATTTGAAGAAAGATTAAGTAAAACAATGTATATCAAATACCTGGTGAGTGCTAGGCGCCCCGTATATGGTGGGTAAGTACTGTGAACTGTAGAAATGTTAATTTCTAGAACAGCTCACATTTACCAACTTGACAGTGACTGTGGCTCTTTTCCATGTAACTTGATAAATCTCAGGTAAAAGGTGAACTTCTGTTATGATCTGCTCTGCTCCAGGCATGTGCCCTTCCAGTGGCAGCCTGGGACTCAGGGATGAGAGTGGCTCCAGGGTGGGGATTGAAAGGCCTTCATTTTCCTGACTCTCTAAGAGCCTCAAGGTCAAACATGTACCCCATTTTGTCTTTTTGAAACTAACACCCAGCTCTGCCTGACTTTACCATTTAAATTCAGCTTTTCTTCTGATCTCAGATGTACCACTTCGTACCCATCTCCCTGGGCTCTGCTCTGCCCTCTTCGCAGACCTTCTCGGGGTCTCCACTCGCAGGCCGAGAGCCTCTCCCTGGCCTCCAGCCACACCCCCCATCCACACACACCTTTTTCTCAATTTAAAAAAAAAAAAGCCTTACGTTGACAGACTTGGGGGGAAACTTGAAATACCTGCAGTGCTGTCATCACCCAGCACTGGGCTCCTGTACCACATTTACTTTGTGTAACAGGAATATTCTGGAAGAAATCTTTTCCTGCCTATGTCAGTTAGGATTAGGTTTAACTGACTTTTAAAATACAGAACTTTATTTCTCTTTCACATATAAGATGCCCCAAGATAGGCAGCCGAGGCTAGTATGACATTGTCACTGAATGGCGAGGGCGTGGTTTTCCCTGTTGCTTGCCTGCCGTCCTTAGCACGTGGATTCCACCTTGTGGTCCCAGGTGGCTGCTCGGTCTCCATCCATTAGGGTTTCTTCAAACCCTTTGCCCATTTTTTAGTTGGGTTATTTGTGGTTTTATTACTGAGTTATAAGTCATCTTGTACGTTTCTCACCACAGACCTGAAATCAGCCATTCCTTTAAGGAGCCCCGGTTCCTTTCAGTGGAAAGTGGTATTTAGAATTCCCACTCCAAGGCTCAAGGTTCCTCACTGCTCCTGGCTGGTTCCATATTTAGTTTTTTAAAACAAGACACTTCTTGAGTTTGTACTAGTACATCCAGTGCACTCAGAACCACCAGGGTTTTTACTTAAACTATTCAAATTTGTATCTTAGCTTTCTTCCTCCCACACTGAAAATCCCGGTTTCAACAGCATCAGCATAACGGCCCACTTGGTTTTTCCCACATTACAAACGCAACGGTCAGAATAACAGCACCAGCTACTTTCGGCAGTGTGGTTATTAAGAAGATATTAAAGAGGTTTCAGAGTAATTTTTGACCCTCGGGTTACCCGGCATTTTGCAGTCATTTCAAGCAGTCCTCTGTGTGGCTGCATGGTTAGACTCATCTTAGTCACCGTGAAGTGGAGTAATTACCACGTGTAGCGGGTTAAATATTCTTGCTTTAAAAAGGAGGAGGAGGAGAGAAAGGAAGTGAGGGGACGAGAAAGGGAGAGAGCAACTGGTTGTGCATAGTAGACGTTTTCCTCTAGGAATCGTGTGGGATATACCCTTGTAAGTCAAAACACCCAGCACACATCTATTTCAGTTTTGTATACATTCAGGGTTTGGGGCTGTTTTTTGTTGTTTTGTGTTTTCAAAGAACAGGGTTTAAAGTAAGATGTCTCTCGTTCCTTCAGTAACCTCTCCCCAAACTATTTTCTGAGCAGTTCATGAAGCATTTTTTCTGGCAAAGGTGTTACCACGAAGACTACACCAAACACTTCCTGCCTTTTCGCTCTCGAGGGTGTCGGGGTGTACAAGCACGTTCTGTCCCAGCCAGGAGCTGGAGCAGAGCATCTGGCTGCCTGCGCCCACGTGTGCGTTCTCGCGCTGGTCGCTCCGTTTAGTGACAAGGTCGAGAGAAGGTCTTTTAGTGAACTGTGAGCTCCTTCGGGGCCTTTTTGGGGTGGCTCCTGCAAGTGTGTATTGCTTGAGTTGTAGCGCCTTGCCCCAACTCCCCAATTTTATTATGTTGGACACAGAGGTGCCCAGTTTTTAAGTTGTGCCCTCCCCCCATACATCCCCAGCCCGGCACTGCCTCTCTGTGGGTCTGTTTGGCGTCCCACTTGGGGGGCACATTTGAGGCCTCCTGTGGCTGCCTTGTGTCTGGGCCTCAGTCTCCAGGAGTCGCTCTGCACCTGTCCAGAGCCTGCCCTGCAGTTTGCCTCTTCATGATTGTGGATGAGAAAGAAGCCACTTCCTCTGTTCTCTCGCTGCCTCTCACCCACTTTGGATGTGGGCAGGGAAGGTCCCTTTTTTTCGCAATAAAAAGTCACACTGTGGCAGGCTACCCATTACAGGAAACTCCCCGCTGGCCTATATTCAGTATCCTGAGTGAAGAACTTGTCTCAGAACAGCTAACTGGTACACGGGCTGTGTCATGGCCACAAGCACGTGTCCCCCTGGGCCCTGGGCCCAGAGACTCACAGGGCCCGAAAGTGGCAGAGGGTGAGCAGGAGCCGCGGGCCGCGGGCTGGGAACAGTGTGCTTCTCAGTTAAAGCGTGTTCTCCCTCTGGGTGAGCCTGGAGGACACCGGCCGCGATGCGGCAGCCTTGGGGACCTTTGTGGCAGGCAGCATGGCAGTGAGCCTCAGCACATTGGTGGTGCCCATGGGTACCTCCCAGGGGCCCCTCTGCCAGGCTGGGGCTTTGTCTTAGAGCCAAGGAAGGAGGTGGGAATGGATGTGGCACCAGAGCTGTACTTTCATTTGTTGAAGGTCATTTAAGGTGGAAGCATCTCTGATCATTTTCAAGAGTAGTAAAATGAACATGGAAATAAGTATTGTGTATTTAGAAAAGTACTTTTCCAAGTACCTTTTGGCTTTTGAAAACTGCTTTGCGGTGAACTGGTGGTTATCTAGCTTATGGTCACTGGCTCTGGACACACCGTCTGGTGCTGTCTTTCTCCGTCTTTTCCTAACCTGTGCCACAGGAGGATTGAAAAGGGCGACATCCCAGGAGCCATGCCCGCAGCGGGAGGAGTCGGTCACCTCTGAAGGAGAGTGGGGTGTTGGCATGGTACCCGGACACGTGCACGTTCTAAGGGTCCCGTTCTGTCTGTGATGCTGAAGGCAGGCTGAGCCCACACCTCCCAGCTGGTCCCTTGGGGCCAGAAACTTGGTGATGGGCACACAAAGCTTCCCGCCTTCACTCCCTTCCAGTCCAGGCCAGCACATTGGTGGAAGAAGAGAGGCTGAGCGTGACGTCATTATGGAATTCCGGTGCCTGCTTGCATGTGCCCCTGTCATTCCATGATGCTTCTGCCATCGTTCGGTAGTGGAGTTCACCCAGCTGCCTCCCCAGAAAGATGACATTCTAATTATAACTGCTCACGAATCAGTAAAGAATTAGTGGAATTTTTTCTTACATCAGTAGATGCACATAGGCAGACTTCTCGCTGTTCCTTTTACCCTGCTTGTGAAGGAGGGTGAGCGTGAAGGTGGGGTTTCCAAGGCGCTCTGCCTGGCCCTCTGACGCCCTCTGAAGCCACGATGCTCTTCTGTGTGACATGCGTTTCTGACAAGCTGCCTCCGCCATCCTCCTCCAGATGGTGGGTGCAGCCTCATACCACCTGCTGTCTCACCGAGTCATGTGGTCTCATCTTCACGCTGCCTCTCATCCCCAGCTAGGTAGCTAGCTGTTCCTGAAATATTTGTGAGATTTTATTTAACTTCTACACTGTGATAACAGGAAAATTCTAACTTTCTTCTGCCAGCACTTGATTCTCCACGTTTCTCTAAGAGTAGGTAGGCATCAGCTGTGAGAGGGGGGTGATGCTGGCTCTGTTATATTAAGTATGCCTTATTTACTGATTTTTTAAATTAGTATTTCAGAAGTAACATACTCGTTGTAGAAATTTTCGAAAAAGCAGAGAAACAAAAACAAGAAAATAAGGAGTGTTTCATAGCCATATTTTTTTCTATACGTGTGTTCTTGGTTTGGTTTTATTTCCAAAACCTATTATATATATACACCAGTATACCTCCTAGCTGTTTTTCCACTTAATGTTGTATTACACTGTCTCTTCATGCTATCCTGTGTTCTTGTTGGGAGTTGGTTTATAACAGCAATATAATGGTCCATTGTTTGGTTCTAGCATATTATGTAATCGGTACCTAGTACTGAATATTTAATTATGGAATAAGGAGTAGTCTAATTTTATTTATTACATATGATGCTGTGATCACCATCCTTTGTGGCTTAATTTTTACAAACACCCATGACGTTTTCCTTGGGCTAAATTATTATTTAAAAATGCAAATATTTAAGGCTTTTGATATATACTGACGAGTCATCCTCTAGAAAAGCTGTCCAAAGCATTATTCCCATCCACCATGTCTGGACGTTTCTATTTTATTACCATCTAAACTGGAGACTAATGATTATTGATTATCGGTGTTTGCATTTGTGGGTTTCTTCTTTGATACTTCTTGCGGGTGTTCATCTTCTTTCTAAACAATCTTTGCTCTTCCTAGGAAGGCCATCTCGTTGCCTTACTGCATCTGTTGTGATTCCTATATGTGGCGTTTTGAGTTTGGGAAGCTTTGCAGGGACACGTCGCTGTGTTGCCCACTTGCATCCATTGCCACCTCCTCTGTAACTTGCTAAATAGACATTCACGCTGAGAGCCTGAACTCAGGCTGCACCACATGTGGGTCCTCCTGAGATGTCCAACAGGAGAGTGGACCTAGAAGTGTGGGTTCCTCCATACAGCGCGGCAGTAAGGAGGACAGACCCCTCGGGTTCACGGAGCTGTGGGTGTTGCGCTGTGTGACAGTAGGTTAGTGGCCTCCTGGATCTGAGGGGGCTGCAGGAAGGGAGGAGCGACTAGGAATGTAGTTTCTTTGGGAGGCGATGAAAAGTCCTAAAATTGGTTGTGTTGATAGCGGCACAACTCTGACCAGACTAAAAGCCACCAAACTGCACACTCTGGATGGCTGGATTTTATGGTGTGTGAATTCGATGTCCAGGAAGCTGTTCAGAGAAAGAAGACGGACACAAAAGCGCACCCTGGCTAGTTCTACTTACGTCAAGTTCTAGGCAAAACCGATGTGAGAAGCACGAGTTAAAAAGTGGGTGGGGCGGGGCAGATGTCTGGAGAGCGGGGAAGTGTCCTGCAGCCTGAGTGGTGCTTCTCGGGGTATATGCAATCATCAGAGCTCATCAGACTGGGGAACATGCATTCTGACTGAAAAAGCACGTGGGCCCTGATACCATCGCCACCGCCGCCGCCTCCTCCTCTTCTATTTGAAAAAATATTTCTGTCATTTCTCTAGTGGGTAATATGCCCTTAACTTTCTGTCCGTTGACAAAGATCCATCCAGTCAGCTCAGGACCCCAGCTGCCGCCACACCCGTAACTGGCTCACTTTCGGAACCCACCCTCCCAGAGCCAGGGGTACACTCAGTGGGCAGCGTCCTGCACGCTGCAGAGAACTGGAGTGCGCTTCCCCCCAAAGCGCCCAGCAGTCTGTTCTACCGGGAATTTCGTTTGTAGTAATGACCTTAGTCATTTTGAGACAGCAGGGTTTGTCATTTCCCTCTTCTGAGAGAAAGTACCTTGATGCATTTGAAACTTGTTGACAGGCTGTGAAGATATTTTTGGAGGGCAGGGACATTTTGGGAAGTCGTACAGATTACCTCAGTGAAATGATACTTACATGGATGGTGTGTGGGAAACCCGTAGACTCAGAACAAGGCTGGAGAGCAGACCGCTGACGCATGCATGTGCACACTCAGCCATGAGGAGCTTTCCTCGTGCCTCATTGCTTTTCTCCTGTGTGGGGTGTAGGAGCTGGTCAGACTCACCATTGAGAAGCAGGGGCACCCGTCTCCAACAAGTCCAGTGAAACCCAGCTCCCCAGCCTGCAAACCCGATGGGTAAGTGCTGATTAAACCCTCCTGTCCCTGCGGTCACGTTGGCTCTGCACTTAAATGGGAACCACTCGGGCAGCCCATGCCAGGTGGCCCATTTGCGGCCCGTAGTCCCTTGTCAGTGAGTTCTGCTCTGCGCCTGTGTTCCCGTCAAGTGTACGTGGCTCGCACACGCTTCGGTATTTCCTGGTCTCGAGGCTCATAGTCGACGCGACTCTTGCTAAGGACGGTGTGGGTGTGCACAGCGACCCAGCTCTGTGCTTCTCCTGACCAGCATCCCTTCTTAATTGGAAAGGACTTTGAAGGTTGAGGTTTGGAGATTTGGCTCAAGGGCATTTGGCCTTATCTACTACAAGCCCCAAGTGCAGATATAAAACAGAAATTTGGAGCAATTTAGAGAGCCTTTAGATCATCTAGTCTAAGGGTTCCTTTTACAGACGAGGAAACGGGGATGTAGTCAGGACTTGGCCCAGCTCCTGCCTTTTGTCGGCGATCAAACCTGACTTGCAACCCCGCCTGTGCCAGAGCATAGGGTGCGTGTCCAGTGCCCTGCCCAGCCCCCCAACCCATCATTTCCTCACCTGGTCACATCCCATCCCTGCTTGTGCTCTGTAACCTTCTGTAACCTGAAGTTCTCTCCAATTCTCAGCCAGTCTGAGCTCCCGCTGACAGATCGAGAGATGGAGATTTTAAACAAGACAGCCGGCATGTCGCCGTCGACCGAGCTACTCCCCGACCCTACTGATGAAGAGGCCGCGCCCCCCAAGCCGCCCTTGCCTGGCATTCGGGTGGTTGATAATAGGTAACTGTCTTTTTCTAGCCCCTCCTCTATTTATGACAGAATTTGACAAACGGATGGGTAGAATGAGCCAAAATGAAGCCGGTGCCATTACGGCGAAAGCTGAGAGCCCAGCCCCTCGCTTGTTAGGGCCCTTGGAGGTTTGACCTCCTCGTGGGGCGCCTGGAGGACCTGCGTCCAGCCCCCGCGCCCTCCCTGGCCACACACTCCCGGAACTCCCAGCCACCGGCCTTTTAGCCTTAGCCAAGCACACACGGGTCCAGGTTATTATGGAAGGAAAAGAAAGGGTTCTTCTGATTTTCATTTTTTTTGGGCACTGATAGGTTTATTTTGGCAGAAGGGGAGTGGGAAGTGTGAAAAGTAGGTGTGAAGTGTCTAATAATGAATAACAAGTAATTCTGTACCCTCATAGCTGTTTAAGGAGTTTTGTTTGGGTTGTTGGTGTGACGGGGTTTCTCCATCTGTTTTCAGTCCCCCACCAGCGTTGCCACCGAAGAAAAGGCAGTCGGCTCCCTCTCCCACCCGAGTGGCCATTGTGGCCCCCATGAGTCGGGCCACCAGCGGCTCCAGTTTGCCTGTTGGCATCAATAGGCAGGTAATGCAGCCCCACCTGGGAAGGCGGGGAGGCTTTGGGGCTGGGAAGTCGGTTCCTTCAGCCCCTGTGTGAGTCAGAGGCTCTCTGCTGGACAGGCTGACGTGTCCTTAGTCATCTCTCTGCAGGACGCGGGAGAAGTTCCCACGTGGGGGTGGGAAGGCTGAGCCCAGGGGCGCCACGCCAGGGCCTGAGCTCAGCTCCAAGGCCCTCCCCGCCGCACACTGCAGCGCTCCCACAGGCTGCTTTCTGAAGTCAGACAGACGCGTGACCGCTTCCGCCAGAGACGTGGGCCTTTCCAGCCCGTCTCCGGGCTGTCAGATTCCCTCCTCTAAGTAAATGGACCAGTTCCCTCTCCTTTGGTCTGCCACCATTTCTCAGAAGTGACTTGGGCTGTTGTTGTTTTTCCACACGAGGATTTTGACGTGGACTGTTACGCGCAGAGGCGCCTGTCAGGAGGCAGCCACTCGTACGGCGGGGAGTCCCCCCGCCTGTCCCCCTGCAGCAGCATCGGCAAGCTCAGCAAGTCGGACGAGCAGCTGTCGTCTCTGGACAGGGACAGCGGGCAGTGCTCCCGGAACACAAGCTGTGAAACACTAGGTGAGCCGCAGGCCTCCTTGTCACCACTGCCTCATCACTCCAGGTGGCTTCTTCAAGGCAGCACTGTGATGCCAGTCACTGGCTGCGTGACCTTGGCCAAGTCATTCAGAACCTGGGCCTCGGTCTCTCTGTGCAGCGAGGATGCCAGTATGTCTCTCTAGGAGGCTGAAACTTTAACTGAAATCACGATGTCAGACCACACAGGAGACACTTAAACGGTAGCTGTTGCTACGGTTAATCTGTCAGTGTGTAACCTGAGTCCCTTTGCCAAAATGAAGGGCCATCTGTGCTTAGAGCTGCAGATGAAGGGGCAAGCCCCTGACAGCTTTGGACAGAGGGCGAAGGCAGGTGAGCAGCACATGCTGAGCCCTCGTGGGTGCTGACCGCCTGCGGTGAAGGCCGGCTGCGAGTTTGAAAGGCAGTTTGGCACCAGCCTTAAAGCAGTGCTGTCCGTGTCCCATGAACCAGATAGTTCACTTCTGTGAGTTTATCTTAAGAACATAATCAGAGATTTATAGCAAGATTTCTGTCCAAGGACGTAAACTCAGCCTTCTTAGGAGTGGTGATAAACTGGAAATAATCTTAACTACCCAGTGGTAGGAAGCCAGACAAATTATGATACGTCCACTTGATGGAATCATATGTAGCTAATAAAAACCAGTGGTGATTTATGGATCAATCAGTGGACAGAATCCTAGAGCACTTACGTAGTATTTTCTCAGTTCGGTTTAAAAACAAAGACTCCTGTTGTGGGGGAGACGACTTTGAAGGAAGTACATCAAATTGTAAACGGAGATTATAGTTAGATTGTGGGACTGCGGATGACTTTTGACATTGTTTGGTTTTTTCCACATTTTCTACAGTGGTCATGTGTTTTCTTTTTAAGAAATTCAAAAAATACAGGAAAGGACAAAGAATAAGATAGCAAGCAGCCAATTGCCACCTGTTTTTATTTTTATAAGCAGGGAGACGAATGAAGAATATCAGTAAAGCAAGGGCCTTCTAGGTGAGACGGGAACACATTTTTGTCACACACACTAACGAACAGAATTGGGCACAGGCAGGCTGGGGGCCGTTTCCTTCTGAAGGGCCTTGTCCCTGATGGTGTGTCTTTCCTGTTGTGCACACAGATCACTATGATCCTGACTACGAATTCCTCCAGCAAGACCTCTCGAACGCAGACCAGATACCTCAGCCAGTGGCCTGTAACCTTAGCCCGCTGCCGGAGTCCTTGGGGGAGTCAGGGTCTCCGTTTCTTGGCCATCCTTTCCAGTTGCCACTTGGCAGCTGTCCCCAGCTGGAGGGGGCCTTGGCCCCGGGGCAGCCGATGGACATGCCGCCTGCCCTCCCCGAGAAGAAGCGCCGGAGCGCAGCCTCCCAGACCGCGGACAGCTCTGGCTGCAGGGTGTCCTACGAGCGGCACCCGTCCCAGTATGACAACATCTCTGAGGACGACCTGCAGACCCCAGCCACGGGCCCGTCCGGCCCCTTCCCACCCTTTGCTGCTATCCTCCCCTTTCAGCAAGGAGGTTCCTCAGCCTCTATTGAATTTGTGGGTGACTTCACTGTTCCCGAATCAACGGGTGACCCAGAAAAACCGCCGCCTCTACCAGAGAAGAAAAACAAACACAGTAAGCTTTTGTTGAGCGGTTGTCATGAAACACGTTTTATAATCTAAAATGGTGGTGTGTTGTATTGAGGCATTAGACCAGAATCAAGCAGTGGCCTCCTAAGTTCACAAAAGACAGGCCCACAGGTATGTCCGTGGACACTTCTGGGAGCTCCGTCTCGCCAGGAGTGGTGACGGGTTTTAAAGCCTGGTCAGCTGACCTCTTCCATGGCCTCTGTTAAATCTCAGGTCTGGTCTCCACAGAGCCCAAGTGTTCGGCCTCTTGTAGATAGGTGGCAGTCAGGTGACCTTCTGGCCTGAACACATGGTGACAAAGGGAAACGAGTGTCATGACATTCAGGACAGTATTACAACGGCATCTGGGGAGAGCACGGCAGATGTGTGAGTCTCAGTAGCATTTACGGCAGCCCCGGATGGGCTCTCTCAGCGCCCCTGAAAGTGTGCTGTTGAGAGAGACCCAGTGCCACTGTCGTCTGTTCGCGGTCACTGAGATGTCACATAATGACTTGGAATCCGAGACGGCCTCAGGATAACTCTTGGGCCAGATATTTTAGTACATGATGTTATGGGGGCCCAGGGGTGGAGCTGACATTTTGGAATTTCGCATTTTGAATATTTTCCAACTGTAAATTTGCCATCAAATTCCAAAGTGGAGTTCTACTGGATAGTTTTTCCTGCTGGCTCCCCAGCTGCTCTGTGCCGCCTGTCTCTCTGCCCCCTGCCCTCTCCCCACTTCACTGGCACAGTTCTGTTTCGATTTTCTTGGGCGGACCTGCTGTCACCATTTGGATGTGTGTGGCCACATCAGCCCCACGGCCCCAGGGTTCCTGGCTTCAGGTGAAGCATCCAGCAGAGAACTTCTCCGAACTTGAAATAGAATCTCCATTCCAAGTTCCCCAGTGAGAACATCTGATTGGCTCTGCCTAGGGCGGGCCACTCTCAAAGAAGGGGAGACCCCGGTTAAACACAGCAGGGATTGCCCCGAGGGCCAGCTGGGTGGGCTTTGCAAGGAGGCAGCTCCCCAGCGCCTACTGCTCCTCATCCTCACTGGGTGTCACCCAGTTTGTATAATGGCCTCGGTGGTGCGGTCCCCCAGCTGGAAGGGAGAGCTGGCTCTGTAAGGCTGATGATGTCATTCCCATCTGTCACATTCGTTGGCTCGTTAGAAAAACCAGGGCGCTTGAGGAGGGAGCTACAAACGGCAGTGCCAGAAATGTCTCCTTCTGTGCCTCTCCCTCTGCATGGGCAAGTGTTTCAAGAGCTGCTGCCCCCCCCGCGCCCCCCCCCTACCCTGACTTGAGCAGCATGCTGCTCTGGGCTCACACCCTTCCCTTCCCTTCCCTTCCCTTCCCTTTCCCCTTCTTTTCCTTTCCTAGGAATCATTTAAACCCAGAACTCAGTGCAAACCGCAGTTGCGAGTGCTGCCTGGCCCAGGAGCCAGGAGCCGCCTCTGCCAGCCTTTAGAACAGGTGGGGGTGGCGGTCCTGCAGGGCTGGAGAGACTGGAAGGAGAGGGAGAGGCGGCCACTGTTTCCTTTGCAGCCTTAAGTCTCCGGGGGCTGAGATGTTTTCTATTAATTTAGCCTTGGTCTCACCCATTGATGTCTGTAGCACTTGTGCCTGCAAACCTTTAAGCCTACTGAGAGCTTACAGTGTCACATGCCCTGGGCTAAAGCGTCACACACCCCATTGTATTTGGTCCTTATTACCTGGCCGGAAAGGTGTCATTCGCTCCCATTTTATAGATGAAGAAACCAGAACTCAAAAAACTCAGCCTTGCCCAAGTTCAAGAAGATGTGGGCTTCAGAGCAGGCTGTGTCCCCAGCGCGGGACCCTGCCACCCATGCTGAGGAGGACGGGAGCTCCCTCCTTTGTTGAGGCCCCATCCAGCTTTCCGTGGTGACCCCCACGCAGCAGGCTGTCTTTTCTGTGCCCTCTGGAAGGACCCCAGGCTTTAGACCCTCCGAGGCTTGGTCCTAATCTCAAGTCCACCCTCGGAGAGTTCCAGCCTGTGACTGTGACCCATGGAAACTCCTCTCAAAGCTGCTTTGAGGGAGAGGAAGGCATAGTCACCACCTTCCATTTGGCAGATGGTGACAAAGCTCATCCGTGCACAGTCCCAGCGGCACAGCTCAGCCTCGTCCTTCAGCTGCTCTGACTCCTGAGGGTCCCCAGCCCCTGGGCCAGACCAGCTTCCTATCCCTGTCTGCCCACAGTCCCGGCCCGTGGGAACAGCAGCCTGCCACGCTGCCCTGGTCTCAGAGCCCGAGTGCTAGCCTGCCTTTGAAATGGGCTGGCCTTCCTCGCTTCCCGAACTTGTGAGTGTCACTGCCATTCCTCTGTGTGGTTAGCCGGCCTCTGCAGGGTAACGTTAGGAAGGCATGTCTTACTGAAGCTTCCCGCTGCAGTTGTGTTCAGTCTTGGGGAACAGTGGGCAGGCCTTTGGGGTCACCCTCTAGCCTTGCAGCTTCCTCCAGACCCCAGTGGTGTCGGGTGTGCAGCATTAGGAAAAGGCCTTGTGGGGCTTGACGGGGACTGCGCGCTGCGTTTTTAGCAGCAGCGGCAGCAGCCAGCTTACAGGGGGACCATCTTTCCTGCCCACCTTTTACAGCCAAGTCCCATCAGTGCTGCTTGCGGGAGCGAAGACATTCTTACTGATTCATTTAAATAGAGAAGGTGACTGAACACTCCTTCAGTGAAGGGTGCCAGGAAGACAGACCTAGAGAAAGGCATTTCCTGTCCACCTTGACCCCAGATGAGGAAGAGAAGGACAAGGTCACATCCCTACCTTTGTGACTGCCACCCGCAGCAGAGTGTCCGTTAGCTTGCTGACTGGTTTGGGTCTCCATTTAAGCCCCCGACTTTGTGGTTGTTTGAAAACACAAAATTAAGCCCCGCATCATGGTCCTTGCCATGTTTCTTGGTGTCCAAATCTCAGCTCCACCAAGCAGGTGCTTATGGCGTTTGTGAGGTGCCCCACAGGCGAAGCACCCACTCAGGATGGTGACTGAGATCCCCGCCATCCCTGTGCCTGCCACACCTGGACCTCAGTTCCTTCGCCTCCAGCCCTGAGCCCCTCCTTTCCAGCTGCCGTCGTCCTTGAACCCCCTCTCCTAGTGTGCGCAGCAGCGTGTCGGTGCTGGGTCACAGGTGGCAGGGGCCAAGCAGCGGCACACACGTGTGTCTAGGAAATGCCCTGACACCTGGGCGCTTCCTCCACTACCTGGAGGAGGGGAAGGTGGTGCAGGATTTCATACCTGCCTTCACCCAGGCGCTGCTGGCAGGAATATCAAGTGCGGATCCACTTTACAAAGGTGCGTGGGGCTTGGAGAGAGAGCTTCTGCCCCAGCCCAACCTTCCCAGCTTCGTAAGTGCACCGGGTGGCAGGGCAGTCAGCTCCAAAGTGTCGCTTCTCCCAGAACCCTCTGCAGGCCTCAGAAGGGCCTGGCTCCACGGCTGGGGCTCGGATCACTAACCTCAAAAGTCAGGATTAAAGTGTGCATGGACGCCCCTGTGTGGGGCTGAGGGCCGCACCTGCCTCTGGGAAGGTGCCTGCAAGGATGAGGTTATGGAGCCGTGGCAGCGAGCTCTTTGTTCTCTGACTTCTCACCTCTGGGGCGGTGAGGTGCCTTTGTGGGTTGCACAGGACAGGGAGCCTGCCCCTGGGCGGACCTCGGGGTGGGGGGGGGGGTACAGGCAGCGCCACCGTGAGACCGCAGCTGGGCATCAGATGGCAGCAGTGGCAAGGGCTGGAGTTTCCGAGAGGAGTTTTAGGGAGGAGAGGATGCATTTATTTGAATTTGAGCACTTTTCTACCCTTTGTCCTTTCCCAAGAGTGTTCCTAGCCCTGTAGCTGGACGCGGGGGACTGAGTGTGGACACTGTTTCTTGCATACCCAGTGGTACAAGCCCCACCTCAGGGCCTTAGCCAGTCACCAGGTAGGGACAGGTGCTGAGGGACACGTGTTCCATTCATTCATTCATTCTACAAACATTTGCGGCCGCCTACTGTGTGTCAGGCACCAGTGACTCAGCAGTGGACCGGACACGTGCCTGCCCACCTGGAGCTTCGACTCTTGAGTGAGAGGTGGCACATCCTGTTGCATCTGCTTTAAAAATATGCCCTGAACCAGACCGCTCTCACCCCCTCCACCCACCCCACGGCTGCGCCACGCACACCCCACGGAAACCCTTCTGTGGGTTCCCGCCCACTCAGCATCAGGCCGCCTTCCTGGCCCCATTCACACAGCCCTGCGCCCCCTCCCGGGTAAGCGCCTCGCCGCCTTCTCTCCCGTGGCCAGCTGTGCTCTGCCCCCCTTGGGCCTTTGCCTGGCCTGTAGCCTCGGTATGGAAGACTTCCCCACTCTCACATAGCTCATCCAGCACCCCGTTGCCACCCCACTTCACTGTTCCCCACGGGATGTTTCTCCCCCAGTGTTCACCCTACCCCAGTCTGTTTTCTGTCAGGGAAGGCAGGCTGAGCCCCACATGGCAGAGAATTTGTTTTGCTGGCCTCTGTGTAGTCCCAGCACCTGGGTCAGCGCCTAACACATAGTAGGTGCTCAGGAAAAATTAGATTGGTAGAAAAAGCCCCCAGAGAGCTGCTGACCCACTGTGGGAGAGCTAAGAAGGAAATGAATGAGGGGCAGGTTGGGGAGCCTGAGCCACCTGGGAGGGAAAGAGGGGGGCTCAGTAGGTGGGGGAAGTGCAGGCAACAGCGTGTACAGGAATCCCTGAGGGCAGTCCAGGAACTGAAAGAAGCCGGGGGCTGAGCAGGGGCTGAGTGAGAGGAACTGGAAGCGGTGCCACCCCGTGAGCACAGAGTCCGTTCCCGAGTGTGCCTGGAAACCCCTGAGGGATTTTCAGCAAGGGGGTGAAATGCCTCAGTATGCTTTTGTAAAAATAGACTTTATTTGTTAGAGGAGTTTGAGGTTCACAGCAACGCTGAGTGGAAAGTACAGTTTTTCTGTATATCCCTGCCCCCCACGCACACGCATGGCCTCCCCACTGCCACCATGTCCACCAGAGTGCCACGTCTTCTCCAGTCAGTGACCTTGCACCGACACTTCATTGTCACCGAGTCCATAGTTGACAGGGCCCACTCTTGGTGCTGTGCGCTCTCCGGTGCGGGGTCACACAGTGGTTTCTCGGCCTGCTGGGCTGCTGGGGGGAGAAGGGTGGGGGTGTCCCCACGAAGCAGAGCACCAGGGGCCGCCACCGCCCTCTCTGTTCCGCAGTGCTGGCCTACATGCAGCTGCTCGAGGACTACTCGGAGCCGCAGCCCTCCGTGTTCTACCAGACGCCGCAGAGCGAGCACATCTACCAGCAGAAGAACAAGCTCCTGATGGAGGTGTACGGCTTCAACGACTCCTTCAGCAGTGGGGACGCCCCCCAGGAGCTGGCGCCGCCCCCCGCCCTGCCCCCCAAGCAGCGGCAGCTGGTAAGCCGCCCCGCCCAGGCCGCTGACCGCTGACCAGCACTCCCATCCTGATGGGCCTTTAGGAACCCAGCACCTCCTCCCCCAGGCCAGGGCCCCACACTGCTGGTGAACTCGCCACATCCCACGTGGGTGCTTCCGCTTCCCCCATCAGACAGGCTCCCGTGCAGCCAGCCTCCTGCTCTGCCATCCCCCCAACCCAAGGGGCGGTGGCGCCTTGCGTTTCCCAAGCAGCCCCGTGCAGCTGGGACTGGCTTGTACTCAGAATGTTTGCTTTCTCTGCTGACAGTCGCTTCATTTTTTTCTCTCTCTCTCCTCTGGCTCCACTATAGACCTCCCAGAAAGGAGAGACTCAATCAAACACAGGGCATGGTCTGTGTAGGGCCATCTGTGGACTTGATTTACATAATGGGCCTGACTATATAGCGTGACTTACATCCACCCTGACCAGGGATGCCCCAGTGAAAACAAGCTCTATTGAGGCAGGATGGCTTTAAACAGAGCTGCTTTGTATTTCGTGCATGGCACCCTTCCGCCTCTAAAAAACACCTCCTGAGGCAGGACTCCATGTAGGTAAAGCGGCTCAAGTCAGCACGGGGCAGGCCGTCCTGCCTGGCAACCTGTGAGATTCTGGGGCCTCGCGGGAGGGCACACCAGGGGCGCCTGTGAAGGGGCGCCTCTAAACCTTTTCCTCTCTGCTACCAGCTTACTACCCAAGTGGATTCTGCCCAGGCTTTAGAGCCCAAGCATCCCATCCAGACATGCTCCCTGGGAAGAGTCCACCCCAAAGGGGAAGGCGTTTTCAGAGCTGCATATGCTGTTTTGCTCATATGCTGGCCAGTCTGGTAGCGTTTTAACCAAAGAGGAGACCCATGTGGTAGCTGGGCCATCTTTTATCCATTGCGAGAGGACATGAAGGTGCTGCCCTGACTTTTCTGGGACACAGCTGCCAGCTGGAGGACAAAGGTCCCTGGGTTACTCGGTGCAGCCACCTGGGTCTCGGCAATCCTGGGATTGGGCCCTGAGCCCTCCTGCAATCCATGAGCACGGGTTGACGGGGCAGAACTGCCGCCAACCGCTTGGGAGACAGCCTGTCTCGTGGAGGAAAGGCCGAGCTTGGAGCTGAGGGTCCTGGGTTCCAATGCTGCCGTTCACTAGCCGTGTCTCACGAATGACACTTGGTCTCGGTTCTTCACCTGCCCTGAATATGACTATAAATTGCTCTGAAAATATTTCAGAAAGAGATTTTTACCACGAAAATATAAGTGCCTGCCCCAGGGACCCCCTAACCTAAACTGTTTGGTTAAACAGCTGAACCAGATTTTGTTGAGATTTGAAATGTTCTCCTCGCCTCCTGCGGGTGTCCACAGGTACCCACTGGCCGTCCTTGGGCATCTTGCCAGTACCAAGGAGCCCACAGGCCTCCACGTGTTTGGGGACAGATCCCTAATGAGCATGCTTGGAGCCAGGCTGCCTGAGGGAGCTCCCTGGACCTTGTACCATGCTGGCGGGGCAGTGGTGAGGGGACCCCAGGAAGAGGCCCAGCTGGGGCCCTGCAAGCTAGGCAGACACCCTACAGAGCATATCCCCTTGTGAGCACTGGGGCTTCCCTGTGGTTTCACACCACAGCCCCCATCACCCCCATTTTCAGTAAACTGAGGCTGAGAGAGCCAGAGAGACTTCCTCAAAGCCCTCTACCAGAGTGGAAGATTCGGGGGTAAAGCCCAAGTATGACTGTAGCCCAGGATCACCATGTGATAAGCCTGTGCTGGCTGCGTGGCACACCCACTCAAATGCAGGCGCGGGAAGTGTCATTCCATTTTACCAACAGAAATGGGAGTAATAAATAATTGCTCATGCTGTTGGCCCGTGTACACCATGGAAGGCACGGTTCTAAGTGCTTTGCAAGTAGATAGCCCTGTACATACAATGTTACCCCACGTTAGAGATGAAAGATCTTAGGCCCACAGAGCGTCATGTAATGCCCAAGGTCAAACAGGTCACAAGTGGGAGGGCCCCGATTCAAACCCAGGCAGCCTGGCTTCTGGTCTGCACTCTGCTGCTGCATGAGTAACTACAAGGTGTGATCAAAAACTACAGTGAATGTTTAAACTAAAAAAACTTACTACAGTAAAAGACACATTGCCATTAATCCCCCTCGCTTCGAACACCCTATTTCATCGTTCTTGCCGCTTTCTGAAGCAGTTCTGGAAGTCCTCTTTCATGAGTGTCTTTAGTTGCACTGTCATGGCTGCCTCAATGTCCTGAATCGATTAAAACATTTACCTTTCATGGTTATTTTGACTTGGAAAGAGCCAGACATCACACGGCTCCAGATCTGGTGAATAAGGTGGATGAGGACACATCGTCATGTTTTTTTTATTTGACAGAAATTGCTGTACCAGAGGCGATGTGTGACACGGAGGCTTTCCGTTGTGATCACAAAATACAGTGAATGCTGCTGCTGAGTGCTATCCAACGGAAAGGCAGGGATCTTCAATACAGGAAGCGACACATCGAACCTTAGTAACAGTGTGTGACAAGTTTCATCTTGTTCAGTGCAGTCAGTCGGGTGTGAGCTATGGTTGAGAGAAGGTGTGTTTTAAAGTGTGCCGTAAATCATCCTCCATCATGACAACGCTCTGTGTCACACATCGCTTCTGGTATACGGCAATTCCTGTCAATTATAAACATGACGGTGTGTCCTCATCCACCTTATTCACCGGATCTGGCACCGTGCGAATTCTGGCTCTTCCCCAAAGTCAGAATGATTCAGGACATCGAGGCAGCCATGACAGCACAACTAGACACTCACAAGAGGACTTCCAGAACTGCTTCAGAAAGTGACAAGAACAATGGGATAAGTGTGTTCGAAGCGAGGAGGGGTATTTTGAGGGGGACTAATGGTGATGTGTCTTTTACTGTAATAAATTTTTTTATACTTAAACATTCACCGTATTGTTTGATCCCACCCCGTACATGGTCTGCACCCCTAGAGGAGGAACCTGAGGCCCTAAATAAGTGGAAAGGCCGGGGCTCAAACTCGGCCTCCTGCCACCTCACCACCACTTCCTGTGGACACAATTTGTATGGAAGTGAGCTTTAAATGTATCATGGGGAAGTGAAGGAGGGCCCCTCTCATCCAGGCAGCCTTCAGCAGGCATGTGTGACCCCTGACCTGGGCCCAGAAGCCACCCCTCCCCAGGATGTCCGGCAGACTCGCTAGCAGCCCGCTCAGCCTTCGCGCGTACACGCCTGACTGTTCTCTGCTTTTCTCCCTCCTGCCCTGTCTTCTCTCTCATTCCTCTGTCCAGCAGGCCTCCTGTGCTGCTGCTTCCTTCTCCTCTGTCTCCTACTGTGTCCAGCAAACTAAAGTGGCCTTCACCCCCGAGGACGGCAGTGCCACTCAGGGCATCAGTGTGTCCGTCTCTAACTCCTTTCTCAGCCGGCATGGCAACTTACCTGTGCCCGCGGTGAGTCAGTCGCTCCCTGCTGCTCCTTCCGTGCAAACTGGTGAACGCCACCTTCCATGTGTAGCCTGTGGGTCCCAGCGTGTGTGCTGTTGCCATGGCTGGACCTGCCCTTGTGCAGATCCCTGCACTGGATGGGAACGGTATGCGGGTTGCTCTCTGTGGCCTTAAGAACTGTGTGCATTGGGGGGGGGGGGGGGAACATCAGTGGCCACACTTGGAGCGTTCTCACTCAGGTGCAAACTGGCAGAGGTTTTGGCCTGTGTATTCTGGTTTATTCTTGGGTCTGGGGTCAGCCTGTTGAAGTGTTCTGTGGTTAAAAAGGGATATTTCTCACGTAGGAAGCAAGGCATGGAGAGTAGGCTCTTCCGGGGCAGGATGAGTTGGAGTTGGAGGGTTTTTGCTGTGTAACAAACCACCCCAAAACTTAATGGCTTAAAACCACAGTGACCGTTTGTTGTTGCTTAGGACACAGGTTAGCAGGGTGATTGTGCTGACCTGGCCCAGGCGTAGCTGGTTGTGGCTGGAGTCGCTAGCATCTCTGGCACCTCAGCTGGGACAATCGGGCTGATTTGGCCCAGACCCACGTGCTCCATCCACCTCCATCAGGCCAGCCTGGGCCTGTTCACAAGGCAGCTGGCAGGGTTCCAAGGAAACAAATGGAAGCATGCAAGGTATCCGAAGGCCTCAGCTCAGAATCAGCCTCCGTCACCTCCATTGCATTCTCAAGGTTAAACCACAAGGCCAGCTCAGATCCTGTGTGAATAGAGGGTACGCTCTGCCCCTTGGTGGGAGCTGCTGCTAAATCTCATGGCAGGGGGACTTAGATGCAGGAGGGGGGCCGTTGTAGCCATTTCTGTAAGCAGTTCCCTTCAGAAACATAGGGGAGGGGACACTGACACTTCAGGAGGCACAGTGTCTGTCAGTTATCCTTCGCTGGAATCTGCATCGGTCCAAACACCGGAACAGCCACCATTGCCCTTGAATCTGTGAAAATGAAACAGCAGCGGGGCCACGTTTAGGTTCCCCTTAGAATTGGTTTGTCCTTCATGAGTCGCGTATCCCTCAGCCTGTTTCTTTCCTTCGGGATGACACCTACTTGCCTCTTGCTTTGTGAGCGTCAGTGAGGATTGAGTGAAATCATAGGAAGTTGCCTGGCGCATAATAAGCTCAGTAGGTTGCCGCTGCGGCTCTGAGTCTGGAGCTTGGTCTTGGTTCTGTTCTAATTCGGTACGTGAGAGCTTGGGCAGGTGGCTTCACTTGTTGGACCTCCCTTTCCTCTCTCAACTGATGAGGTGGCCCTGGTGACTTACCGAGACCTACCTGTCCAAGCTCAGGGTCCCGGCATGGTCGCGTTGTTTCCATTTTTGGGAACCACCCCGTGGCCAGGTTCAGATGGTCCTGCTGTTGTGAGGACCTTGGGGTGTAGTCTTCCTTTGGCTGCCAGCGCCCTCAGCACCCCTGTGCTGCTCTAGGAAGGCTGGACACCCACCCCTCTTGCCGCCCTTCCCGGCCCCGGCACACAGACCCCTCTGTGTCCTCAGCAGGCGCTTCTGGCAGGCTCCTTTCCCAAATCATGAAAACTTGGCCTTCAGACAGTCCTAGCTCTTGACTGTATTCTTTGCCTCTATGAACAGAAAGTAAATGTGCATTATCTTAAGAGTGTCTACAGTATCCCTTTTGAGCAGTTTGGGGTTACAGGACTGTCAGTGAACTAGACTGTGTGTGCCACAGAATTCAAACTTGAGAGCATTTAAATTAAGTTTGGGTAAGAAAATGTCAGAGGGACAGAGGGAGTCTGGCATCGGAAATACTGCCTTCTCGGCACCAGCTCCACAGAGGAGCCCAAGGGGACGTGCTTTGTTTCATTAAAGGAAAAGCCCCCACGGCCTCCAGACCCATTAGCAACATTTGACATCTGATATGCTGAAACCGGAGAAGTGATTTGCTTCTCACGTGGCCTCTGCTTCTTTCTAAGATGAGCCCTGCGGAGGGTGATGCTTTGCTATCAGAGCAGCTTTTATTCTCGAATTTCTTCACTGCATCATTCTGGGGCCTGTCATCAGTCCGGCGTAGAATTCCGAAAGGGTGCCTCTTAGGATACAGAGTTGTCACACCTCAGACTGTTCTAGGCCCGGTGACCTGTTACTTCTACCGGAAGACACTAACCATCGAAAGGCACTCCACCAAAGGAATTCGTAGAGCAGTAAACCAGAATTGACAGATGTAAATTCAAGTGCTGAAATGCTTTCTCGTTCACTGCCCACTGCCCCTGGAATAGCTCCGTCCAGCAGGCAAGGGCCTCTGCTAGTGCGGCGCAGGCAGCAAGAAGGATCCGGAGCCCACAGCGCGGCCTCAGCACCCGGAGCAAATAAGAGCATAAAGGAGACTCGCGCTAAGGCGCAGTGGCGTGAGAGTCACCAATGGGCAGAGGCGCCATGACAGGGTCGGACGAGCTTCGTGGCGCAGGTAGCACTTGAGCTGTGGCTTAAGGACAGTTAGGATGTCAGGGAAAGCGAGTCAAAAGATGTCTGACACCAAGGGACCTGCCTGAGGACAGGGCTGGGATGCCTCGCAGGCATTCGGGACGGGTCGCCTCTATGTTAGCGCAGGCAGCTGAAGGACAGGGACAGCAGCCACCCCTCCCACGTGTCCTCAGTCTCCTATACCTGAACGGAGACATGTGCTTCCTGAGCGCAGCGCTCAGGCCAGGGCTTTCGCTGTCCCCACTGCCTGCTGCTTGTCCCCGGCCATCTCTGCTCCTGTTCCTGGGCGCTGCCCCCTCTTCTTGGCAGACTTCTGCTGGGCCTTCTCGTCCCATGGCGGTGTTAGGCCCAGTCCAGAGGTGTCCTCTCCTTGGCATGTGCCGCAATCCTAGGAGACGTGAACATCTGGCCCCTGGGGCATGAAAACCAGTTGGCTAGGACAAGGTTTTTGGGGAAATGGTGAGTGACTAAGGCAGCAAAGATGTGGAGAGCTGGGTGCGACCTCCCCTGGGGCCAGGAGGCAGCTCCAGGGTTCTGTTCTGATTCCGCTGGGCCTCAGTGTACCTGCCCCATGGGGCCCTGGCGGGTGTTTGAGGGATGGGCCCTCCTGCACACAGCTCCCCAACATGCTGCTGGGGTCCCCCTTCCTGTCGCCAACTCGCCCTGAGTTACTTGTGCCCCATGGGCTGCCTGCCCCGGTCCCTCCGTCGTCAGCGTTTCTTCTTTCTACACCGAGTCCCCCACGTGCTGCCTGCTTCTCACAGCCCTTCTCTCGCTAGCGTTTTCTCTGGTTCTGAACCCTGGCAGACACATCTGTAAACGTTAGAAGTTGCACTGGGCCCCTTTCATTTGCCCCTGGCCAGGGTGGTGTTGAGAATCTCTCAGTAACCATTAGGGTTGCCGGGGCCTCTCCAGCATCACACTTTGGATGTTAGAAACCCCACCTGCCTCCATCCCGAAGCTGTTCCCTGGTGTGTCCTTCCTCTGCCAATGCAAGTTTCGGATGTTCACCACCGCCCAGCAGTCTGGGGAGATGCTGGAAACCTGCTGAAATCCTTCTTGCCCGTCTTGGTTCCCCTTGGGCGTGAAACCCAGGATGCGCCTGGGTGTGTAAAGGTGCTGCCAGGGCCAGGCCTGGAGAAGAGCTTGAGAAATAGCCACGGCTGCCATTTGTTTAAAAAAACGTTTAGGGTAAGAAAATCAAGGGCGTGACATCTCGAATTATTATGACATCTTAGTTAGGAGAGAGGGACCTGTAGAAGGGACCCTAGGGGGACACGGCTGGTGTCCCATCCTGGGCATGGCGCTTCTCTGAGATGTTGGACGCTGGCTGTCATCTGTGAACACATAGGCCGTCAGTGGGGGGCCTGCACCTCTAGGCGCTAGGTGTCCCTGCCACTCTGTCCCCTCACACAGCCCCCGAGGCTCCACTAGTGCACCTGTCACTCGAGCTCCTCCTGGCCGCCAGCCAGCCCTGGGCAGTCACCCAGCAGCCACCAGCGACACTGGGCACTGACTGGTCTGAGGGCCAGACAGGAAAGGGGGAGGGGAAGGAGGCGGAAAGGAGAGATGCTGGACTTGGGGAGGAGGGCGTGGCCGCGGGGAAGTGGGCGCCTCGAGGGCACGCCGGCTGCTCAGCACAGCGCAGTGTGTGTCCACCCGTAGAAAACAGGCTCCCCCGTCCTGTCTGTACCTAGTTTCTTCTGATGTCATCTTATCTTCACTGGCTTCCTGCCCTAGTTAGACCTAACGCACTGTGAGAGAGGAGAGGCAGGGAAGTGTCCATGGGCCGTGCTGCTGGCCCGGGGCTGGGGGCTTCTCCGGGCCGCATCTCTGCTGGCGGGGCTGGGCTGCCATCGAGGGTGGAAGCCTCTGAGGGCCCCTCCAGTGCGCTGCTGACGTTCCTCCTTGGCCGGCAGTGGCTCAGGTGTCGCGTGGGCGTCTCCGATCACTTGAAGTCGTAGACTGTCAGCCTCTGCCCAGAGTCTAGTCTACAGGGCAGTGTCTCCTCACCGGACTCTGGGCTCCCCGGAATTAGGGAGCCATCCCCATGCCCTAACACATGACACTCAGTCGGTGTTCACTGGGTCTTCTCCGGCCACACTCTCTACCCCCACCCCTGTTATTTCTGAGAGCGTTGCCTCTATCCCGAGTTGCCCAAGCAAGAAACGAGGTGTCGTCTTGTCTTCCCTCCCCTGCCACACACCCCCCACGTTTACACATGAACACGCACTCCTGTCACCAGGCCCTGAGCTGGTCCACTTCTCTCCAGCCCCGTGGCCACTCCCTTCCTCCCTGCCCCGCGCATGGCCACTCTGGCCTCCTTACTGGCCTTCCTGCCACCACAGCCCTTCCTGTCCTTCCCCTTCCGAGCGCTACAGTCAGACGTAAGTCTCACCTTGTCACTACAGAACCAGGTCCAGCATTTCCCTCATCCTCCTGGGGCCTTGCTGGTGACTTCTGCCCACCTGTCCCTGTGCCCGTGACCTGTGTACCCTCCACCTTGTCCTGGGCCTG